AATTCTATAGTAGATACCATGACCTTGCCAGCAAATGACATTTTTCATTCTAATTGTTAGGCTATTATTTACACATTGAATGGTTGACGGATTTTTCTGTTATATCCCGATCATGACAAGGAGCACAAGGCGGGTGTGACTGGTTTGCAGGCGATGCTCACTCCTCCTTGGCACCGGATGCAACCTCGGATGTTTTAAAAGTCCGCGTTTGCTCTGCTATAATATTTGTTTTGTTTAGTGCATCATTCAAAAAACGGAGAAAATGGTTCGAATAGTCTAAAAATTGGACACCTTGTCTGCATTATTTTCTAAGCTAAGAGCCAATTTGATATTATCGATGATATTTCCATTTCTTATTTTTGTCTCTGCGATAAGTCTTTGAAACTTTGCGGAGTTAATTTCTTGATAAACCTGCCAGAATCTAAATTACTCAGGTCGAAAGGTCAGGAGCTAGGGAGGCCTAATATGCATGCAAATCTCGTGCACAATTGTCTCTGAGTCTGACGCTAAGGGTGCCAAATATGCATGAAAATCTCGTGCGGCTGCCTTTGTTTTTGACATCAGTGGGAGAGGGCTATTTAAATTGGCAAGGGAGTCCTCGTGTAATTCAAATTCATGTCTACATTTTAAAAATATAAATCAACAATTTTATTTCACATTGAAACGGAAATTTAAGGAATCACTGTCTAGTTCGTATAGTATTCCAGGGACATCAACTTCGCCCGTTATGCAAATTATCCCATGTTTCCCACTATCGTTGATGCCCTGGCATACTATACGAACTAGACAGTAATTCCTTAAATAACATCGTTTCGATGTTAATCCAAAGCACAGCTATTAAATTAGAAGTACACATTTACTGGATTATATATACATGACTGAGTGATATGTAATAAAGTCGATATTGTATTGATACATGTATTGATCCTGATCTGTAAAATGTATTTTTAATTATTATATCAGACTAAAAGAAATGTTGATATTTATTCGACTTTGACAATTCACATGTTAAAAAAAATTGTTATTGTCAGGGGGTAAGAAACTATCATGATTCAATATCGATACGATCTCTTAAATTTCAACATCAGGGCAAACTTAATAATCGAAAAGTACATATGCAGGCGTAGAAATATACAACCACAGGAGAAATTTAATATCGAAAATGTCTTCGATGTCGATAATATCGATGACAAATACAATGTTGTCAAACATAGAACGGTCCCGATCAAGTAATAAGCGTATGATTCGATAACAAATTGATAACATTGACGGAATCGACGATATATTGTCTTTCCTGATATACTTTTTTTTTCAAATACAACATGACTATGTATATTTTATTTGAAAAAAAATGTATATCAGGAAAGATAATATATACATGTATTAATAAGGATCCAACATGATTCCTATTGATTTAGTTTACACCTGTTTTCAATGGACGAAAGGATGTCAATTGATCCTGGAAAAGAGAAAACAGAACATTTATTTATTTGGAAATGTTATTTATTAAACATTCAATTCAGATACATGTAACAGATTACTCTTGAAATAATATTGCAGCGTGTCCATAATAATTCTAAGCATATTTAAGTCTGAAAACCGTTGAACGTAGGCCAATACAAGTGTATTCGGGAGGAATCATTTGATAGTACTTCAATAAACAATTTCTAGATTTTTAAATATTTTTCAAAAACAATGTAAAAGAAAAGAAAATTTTTATATTTTGTTTGTTTTAATTCATTTTTATATTTCAGTGTTATATTATTACAAGAGAGATAACTGAATAAATTTTACATCTATACATCCAGTTACAGCAATGATAAAACAAATTTTAAAAAAATGGATTTAAAAATGATACGCTAGGATTCAAACATCTTTGGTAAGTTTTTTTGTCTTTGAAAAAAAAAACCCAGAACGTATGGGAAAAGAGAGGGTTTTACTTTATATATGTCAGGTACCTGGCCTGTATTTACATGTAATTGCTGTCCTTTTGCAAATACAACATCTACTGGAAAAAAACACACATACATATCTTACAATTTTTAAATTAATATAAACATTGTACGAGTATATGTTGTTCAACTATTATCATAAATCAAAGTACCATTCAATTTATTTTTATTTTACCCTACGCAACATGTTGCGTGAGGTATAATGTTTTTGACTGGATTTTTTCTGGGAATTTCCGTACTTTTCAACTTAGATTTTTGGCCATATTTTGAATAATGAGGTGAACAGTTTGTCAGCACAACTCCTCATAAACTGCTGCACACAATTTCGTCAAACTTTGCAGATATTTAGGACACAATGCGTAGATGTGCATATTACCAGAACATTTTGATTCCTTTATTTTTTCGGGAAATTTCAGCCAATAACCATGGAATTTTTTTTTTCTTGCCAATGGGACTTTTTTTTCTTGCCAGTGGGACCTTTAACACTGTTTAAAGGTCTATTCCGAAAAAAGCAGTAGGATTCGAACTATGGCGTAAATATCATCTCTTTACTTCGCGACTCTGGAACGAAAGGATATCCATTTTACTATGGGAGCGACATATATGACTTGTACGTTAAAGGAATTAAAAGACCAATTAATTGTTAATCTAGCAGTTTTAAATCTGAACAAGATGTGTGCGTAAACACTATGTGCCCGGCGGCAACTAAGTTCGAAAAAAGCTATTTTTTGCATATAGGTCACTGTTAAGGTCACAAGGTCAATACATATATTTTCACTGCATGTTACGTTCATATATATGTATTTTCATTAATTGTAAAATGTCAGAGCAAATAAAAAAGACCTTGGTTTAATTTGAAAGAACTGAATGTGTGGAGTACATAAATACACAAAAAGAAGGTGTAAGTTTTGCCATAAGACGCGTTCATTCGAATTCGCGATTAAACGTAAAAGTGTGTTTTCAAAAGTAAAAGAATTCGAGCATACGAAAACTGAGCTCAATAGACATTCGTATACATACATGTACATTCATTCTATATAAATTTTTTGAAACAAAATAGTTCCGCGCCATTGCACAAAAATGAATTTCCCGCGAATAATTTGGAGTGATCTTCAGTGTCTTATTGAGATATGTTTAAATGATTTTAAGGTTTCACTAAACGTTAAAAAGCATTTCTACTCAGCATCCAAGAACCGACGGGTCTGGCCAGAATTTTTTTCCGTCACAAGTGATGGTTATAATAACAAGTACATTTTGTATCGAACAAACTTTGAACCATAAGTAGAATTAAATCAGGATGAGTGCAGTCATTGACAGAGTACATTTGTTTTAATTTCAATAAACTGAATGATCAACAATATGAACAAGGAAACCAAATTTTTTAAAGAAAAAAACCCCCTTTTTTTAAAGACGACCATAGAAGAATGGTTGAAATGTACTTCGTTTTATTCTATATTCTATTTTCCATTGAAAAAACTCAATTGTAAAAAAAGCCCCAAACTTAAAGCACATTTTAAAAAGATGTTATCAAAGGTATGAGAATTCATTAATTCTCATGCTGCTTGGTAACGTCTAATTTTATCTGGTTTACACAAGATTTAGGACTGATTGATTGACTGATGTTGTTTAACTCCCATGGATGAATTTTTCACTCATATAAAAACATCACCAACTTTGACCGTTACTAGGCACTCAGGGCCATGGCGAAGTGAGGGATCTTTATCATGCCAGAAAATACTGCTACATAGGGCTTCTGCCTATAAGGTCTCATATGAAGAACCCGCAAATTTCACTTCAAATTGTCGAGTGCATGGCGAAAGAACAGTTTCTACCCATTTCTATCGACTTAGGTCAGTCATTGAGTTATCATGAAGGTGTTAGGTTAAAATGGTTGTAATTCTGATCATCTATATTTAAAATCTCAAAAAAATCGTTTCATTTTTATTTTATATCAATTTTATAAATAAATGTTATATTTTATAAAGCAATATGAAAGTTATGTTTTATTAAAAAATATGTTGGGAGTTTTGCTAAGTTTTTCAACTTAAGGACGCTCTAAATACTGCACACTAAAAAGCTCTCTTTATTGGGTAGATTTTTGCAGTTAGCGTTATTTGCCCTTAGTTGTAAAATTAAAGAAATTGTTATTTAGAGTAAATTACATGATTTGTAATAGATTAAAATATATTAAGCATTATATAAGACCAAGAGTAAGAAATTTTATCAATTTTTTTCATTAATTTTCTCAATTTTAACAAGTAACAGTGATTTCTGCTCACAAATACATGTAATCCATTTAGCTGCAGATCTGTAGCGTTATGGTTTTATATATTTGGCTTTGACCATAACGCTACAGATCCCGCAATGGAAAAAAGGTGCAATTTACGGCGCAATATATTTGAACACTTTTGGTGAAAATTTCTCCACTTTCCAGCATCGGTCAATTAACTACCTTTCACTCCCTCATTTAAAGCACATTATTTAACTAATCTGTATATTTTACCCATCTTCCAACCCTTTTCTAGCTGTCTGTACAAGTTATATATTCGTTTGATTAAAATTATTTGTTAGATTGCTGAAAATTCACTCCAAGCAAGTTTATTGCCTGTAGAGACAACTGTAAACGGATGGGAGGTGGATAAAATATATGTATTGGCTACAGAATGTGCGTAGAATTAGGGAGTGAAAGGTAGTTAATTGGCCGATGCTGGAAAGTAGAGAAATTCTCCCAAAAAGTGCGCAAAAAATATTGCGCCGTAAATTGCACCTTTTTTGCATTACGGGATCTGTAGCGTTATGGTCAAAGACAAATATATAAAACCATAATGCTACATATCTGCAGCTAGTAGTCCATTGTCTTTGGACATTTTAGGCACATACCCTATGTTCTAAATGAATGAAAAAGTCTCAATATGACTATCTTTTTATAATATTTTTTTCTGAGTCCAAAACACAGTTTCTGTTAGTGTTTAGAGCTTCCTTAAAAGCAGGAAGTTTGGCTGAGAGAGTTTATTATTTCAAATTAGATTATTTCGAGTCATCTCAGAAGTGCATAGCATTGATGCTATATTGTAACTTTGCACAGATTTTACTTGTCCTTTTGTCGAAGGAAATATGAAAAAGTTTTGTTGTTTGATAATGGGTTTCCTAGCAACTATTTACAGCATTGAAATTGAAAACTGTCCTGATCCGTGTAGATGTTCATCATCGAATTTATGTCAGGAAATATGGGTATCCTGTTATTATAAGGGACTTACTACAATTCCAAACAAATATCCAGCAAATACATGTGAATTGTAAGTATTACATGTAGATAATTATTATAAGAAATTAACATTTACTAATGTTTTCCTTTACATAACACTATTGAACGCAATGCGTACATGTATCTATAACTATACAAATACAGGTTCCTCACGTCATAGATGTTCGACATAATATCTCGGTGACGTCATGAAGGGTCGATACGCAATGAGAGCCACGCAATGAATGGATTAAATACGTGCTGTTGAGTTTACAATAAAACACGTCACGTGTTAAAGTTCATAATCAGGAAAATATAAAATGTGAATAAGTCAAAAATGTAAAAATAAGTATTAATGAATCATTTTAACAAATCTATCGGGCTTTAAATAAGGATTGATATGAGATCAAATTTACCATTAAGACCTTTGGTGAAATACTTTTTTTTTGGTTTAATACATGCTGTACGAATACTGTGAAATACATATTGTACAGTGGCATTTTCATTTTCTATCTTGATATTTTTTATGTTTTCATATTATTATGTTATACCTTATGTCTTCTGTCTTCATTTCCATCAACATGAAAACGGTAACAGTATCGAATGTGTGCATTTTACAGAATTTTTCAGCATTGATTTCTTTTATGAATATAGAAAACGCATGGGAATCACAAATATTTTACAGATTTAATTGTAAAATGAGAAAACTTAAAATGACTTACTTTAACTTCATATACGTGTACATGTATTTGAACTATACCATATTTGTTACTTTTCTCTTTAGCAAGTTTATAACATGTACAATCTTCGCTAGCTAAGGTTTTTGATACGGATTTGACATGAATGATGTACATGCATTTTCATTCCAATCATTGATGCATGTTTATATTGTTTTTATCAATGTACAATGTTCACTTTTCTTTCTATCAAATCATTTAGATATTTGACCGGGAATGACATATCCAGGATTGAGAAAGAAAGCTTTTCAAATCTGACTAAACTCCAACGACTGTAAGTATTAGAAAATAAAAGTACAAAAAATCAAAAATTGAAAATTAAAAACATAAAACATGCTTACATATTGAAAAAAAAGAATTGCAATACAATGTGTATCATGGTGTATGTATTTGGAAAAGTAGATATATATATCTAGCTTCATTGGTTTCTCTCCCCATCTCATCCCTAATTCCCCATTCACACATAGACGCCGCTTCAACTACGATCAAAGTGTGGCCGAAAACGTGGCCGACAAACCGCAGAAGAAACGTAGTTGTTTTTTTTATAAGCGCAGAGTCTTCATGATAGCAGAGCTCCATACTCTCGCCACGCTTATTTTGAACATGCTCAAAACATGAGAATTGGAGAAAATCTTAAAAAAGGCGTATAATAAGCGCCGTCATCGTACAAGCATAAGAGAGAGATCTTCAAAATCGTAGTAAAAGCGTAGGAACTTATCAAGCACGCTTCTACAACGCTCCCACTACGTTCTTATTACGTTCTTATTACGTTTCCACTAAGGTCTCTATACGTTCTTGACGATCCTGGGATGACCACAATGACCTTTCTCCGATCATACCAGAACCTATCAGACAGCAGTTTGTTTTTATAGCGCTGATATTTGACCAGTCATCATCTGTCAACTACATGTAAAGGTGACACTGTACTTGACGGTCATTTGCAGTTGAGACTTCGAACTTTCCACATTTTGTTACAGTTTCAATTGAAAATGGTCTATACACCACATCTTAAAGGCCGTGAAAAATCTGCGGTTGCAAGATATATGCATCATCGCCAAAATCGTACTAGAAGCGTAATGCTATCATAATATGATCTACCGTAGCGATATTGTACATGCAGTCATCTAGGTCTGCGTAGCGTCGTAGTATGTTTTTGAATGTTAATGCGGCAGTTAAGCGTAAAGGCAGTAAACACGGCCACTGGTCGGCAACGGTCCGCGTAACAACGTAGCAGAAGCGTGTTAGCAGGGGCAACGTAGTACGGTCGTAACGAAAACCATAATTTGCCAAATTGCTCGATTAAGACGCCGATCGGCACTAATCCGCCCCGATCCAAAACTTTTTCATATCTTGGTTTGTTCGGAATGATCGTTGTAAAGTCGCAGCTCTGTGTGAACGGTAGTAATTAAGATCTAATCCAGTCGCAAAATAAAAAGAAAAAATAAAACACTTTATGTTCTATTAATGCTTTCACTATCACTATCTTTAACTCTCTCTGAGGCTGCTCTATACAATGAATGCTGCACATTTTGAAAATTTTCTAAGTACTCCAGAATTAAAAAAAAGACTTAGTATTCACTTAATTGCAGTTGACCACTGTTGAATATTAATCTATTTTCTTTGCAGTTGTCCAATATTTTCTTTGTTGTTGTACTATTATTGAATACTCCCGAGGCTCTTTTTCGTAAGCTGACCATTATTGAATACTTTTGAATTGTCTTTGCAGTGGACTGATAACTGTTGAATACTCACAAGACCCAATTGTCTTTGCAGTTGACTACTAGACTTTTACGAGTTCCCTATTATTGAACTGTTCTTTATTTACAGTGCAATGGGCCACTCTTCTATACGTTCGTTAAAAGATTTAATTTTTACAAAAAAGCTTTCAAATGCTTTCTAATAAAATTCAAAAATTATCCAAGTTTCCAGTTAGCTTTGTACAAGTTGTATGAAATCTCTTACTCTTTCGACTTGAACTTTATTAAAAATATCTCAGATTATGATTTTGACATAAGTTTCCAACTTTGTCATAGAGTTCCATCAAGCAGGCCAAGTAGTGTACGTACATGTGTAAACTTCGAGTAATGTGTGGTTCTCTTATAAAGATCAATTGTTTGCATAATGGGTACTGCAAAAGCTAATCCTTCTTCATATAAAGCCTGTTCGCTGTTTTCCAGATTTATTTCTCCATGTTTCTTCATGTTTTTTCAAAAAATTACTAATCGTGAGCCTCTAACAAAATAATTTTCTATTTCCGCAACAAGGGATTTTTTATAACCGTTGTAAACAGCCTTCCGACCTTAACCCACATGGTTGCTCAGTCAGTAGAGCGCTCGCTACGTGTTTGGAAGGTCTTGAGTTCGAATCTCGGCTTTTACTGACCTGAGTAGATTAAAAAATGGATAACAACCGTTCCTTTGCTATGCACTCGGCATCTTGAAGTAAATTATCGGGTCCTTCCGATAAGACATTAAAAACCGAGGTACCGTGTCACCATAGACTAATGCACGACCCCTCACTTCTCAGTGGCTCTGAGTGTCGAGCAAGGGTCGACATTTGTGGTTCGTGCAGATGTCAGCTCAGAATAGATGATAGACATTTAAAAATTTGTGACTTTTGAAATACAGATCGACTTTGTGCAAATGAGTTAAACACTTAGAAAAAAAATTTGGAGCACATCGTAACGAAATTTTTAGCGCAATTCAATTTTTTCTGCCAGTGGCAATCTCTATATAGTTATCTCGCTCTCTGGTCAATCAATCCGTGCAGTTTTTTTTTCCAAACAAGCGAGCTATCAATCTGTAGTTCATTCAGTATTTTTACATGTATATGAACATCTCCTTGTGAATAAAGAAAAATGCTGTTAATTGACGATCGCGGAATTTGTGCACTTTAAAAAAAAGCTTGAAAATCTTTCTATGAAAAGTAAAATAAAATGTTTAATTTTTTTGGGGGGGGGGGGGAAGCATGGGTAAATAAGTTTTAAAATGTAAGTTTTTCATGTAAACTGTTGATTTTGTCCTTTTCTTCAAGCAGTGGATTGACGGATAATAAAATATCCTCAATTGACAATCGGGCATTTATTGGATTAACCAAGTTAGAGTACATGTAAGTAAAACTCATGTTTTTTTTAATACAAATAAATACGTCCTGTTAAGAAAATAAAGAAATTTGTAAATGCAGATAAATAAAAAGAAAGAAATGCTTTGGCTGTTCATTTATAGATGCATAATTACATATTACAACATTTCAGTTCTTTGGCGGATAACGATCTTGCTTTTATTGACCAAAAAACTTTCTATGGATTACGGAACCTGCGTTTTCTGTAAGCTTTTGTTTGTTATACTAGTGTTTATTAACTGTAATATTTACTTAATGAATATTATCATTAAAAAAAAACTATAACCAAAAAAAAAAAAAAACTATAACCAAAAAAAAAAAAACAACAACAACAAACAAACAAACAAACATTCAAGGCTCCAGTCTTGTATTTCACTTCAAGTTGTAGAACACACGATGTTTTTCCAAAATATATACATAAGCTATTGCTTATTAACTTTTTAATTACACGAAAACACTACAGAACTTCCTCCTTCCTGTTCATTTTCCTCTTCACCCTACAATTATAGTGCTGCTGGACTATTTTAACTGACAAAGAGTAAATAACGAGGAACTTAAATCATTGATTTCTAAAGGGCCTTATTCTAGGAAACCCCGATCTTGATTTTAACTGGCTTCAAAATTTCATAAATATAATGAATTTTGTGGAAGATTAATCCAGGCGTTGGACACAATATGAATAAGAAGACATTGTCATGTTGACAAAATGAATTTAGTGTATCAGATGTATGTTAAAATCTGGCATTAAACGACTAAGGGGCAAAACCAACTATGCTTCTGTGTTCATGCAGTAATTCAGAAGTGGTCCCTGCTGACAAAGCAGGTAACAATGTTTGCTTTCTTTGTAAGGCTCACTATTTCAAAAATTGTATTTTGGAGGAACTAGGATTTAATTCTACTTCAATGGTAAATAAATCCCACTTAAGGTATAGCTTTACTCAGATGACTAAAAATTCCACTGATAAGAACGAAAAACCAGCTATTCCACATCGTACACCTATGATTCTTGTGTTTAATTTTAATTTCAAATAACTAGGTCAATGGCCTCGTATTCATACTAGGAGCCCCTGAGTATTTCTCGGGAAATACCTCAATTTTTCACACTATGACCATTTTTTTCTTCACTCATAAAATATTACAAGCAACAAAACTCTTTAAATAATGAAATATTATAGCAATGGAACAGAGTTACTCCGTATAAAGAAATGAGTAGAGTTTGGGCCATAAACGTGATAATTATTACAGTCAGAATTTCCTCTGTCATATTTATATTTTTTCCCTATTTTAATCCAATATTGCAAAAATCTGACTGATAAGAACTCTAAATTATTTATAGCCTCAGGTTACTTTTGTTACCCTCATTCTCATGGTATCGATATTATATGGGGTCAATGATCAAATTATTGAGATATGTTGACTGCAGTGGTTTTTGTTCATGTTTTGAATTTCTTTATTTCATAGCTTTCATTTATTTGAAATAATTTATGAGCTTAAACACATCTAAAATTTATTTGCAATATGATGTCTTAAAATACATGTAACCTTTACTTTGTGATTCATATTTCAAGAAATAAAAATTTTGACAAAATTGAAAAATTAAAAATTTAGTCCGAATTTCCTCTGCATAGCCATGCAATGCGTCTGGTCCCTGTATATTTTCTTCAAGTACTTACATATTAAATTTAAAATTGATATTTAGATGAAATTTGGTTATTTTATTCATTGAAAACAATTTTTGATTTAATATATTATACTTTATAAAATTTCCTCTCGGGTTTCTGAAACCTGAGTAAACGTTATCCTTAAACTAGTAGCTCTCTTTCTAAGGTGGAAATTCGTCAAAATCAAATGAAATTTCTAATTTTGGCATTATTAGCAACGGTGCCGAGTTCACTAATATTGGATATTGCTTAAAATTTATTGTTTTATTTGTAATAGTTTCTTTAGTGAGCATATTAAAATCGCTAAAATTACATCTTGCGAAGAAGAAAATACCAGTTTTTAAGGACAAATCGCTAAATTTGTGTCAAAATTGGTGTAAAATTTCCACTAATACGGTATCTTTGATATTCCCAACAACCAAAATGAATTTGAATTACATAAACCATATTTGGGAGTCCAAAACTTCAAAAAAAAACTTTACAAAAGAAGTTACATAGCGGGTTTCAGTTAACGTTCTACCAAACCTCTTTCTTTCATCCCCACTAAAACATTAGCAGAAGTGAAAGTGAAAGAGAAACTTCGGGAATACTGTGCAACAATATTCGAGAATTATCAACATATACATTTACAATTTCAACTTTATAATTATACAACAATTACACACGATAAATTAAAGGTCATTTTTTATATATATACTGTATATAAAATTGAAAGCTGCTTATCCAATAAAAATTGAACTCGCGAATTTGCTTTCCTTGGCAGTGGTAATTTCCAAAATTATTTTGTTAAAAAGCATTTTGAAAGAAGCTGATATTAAAAATATGCTTGAGTCTCTGATTGGTAATATAAGGATATGGAAATAACGAACAGTATTCAATCTCAACGTCCATTAAACAAATATACAAAACAAGAGCAGAGCAAACACGGACCTCCGAAACATCAGAGGTGGGATCAGGTGCCATGGAGGAGTGAGCATCCCCTGCTGACCGGTCACACCCGCCGTGTGCTCATTGTCATAATCAGGAAATAACGGAAAAAATCCGTAGTCAATTCAGTGTATAAATAATGGACTAACAATTGGTATGAAAAACGTCAGTCAGCATTTCATTCAATGATAAATTGTATTTGCTGACAAGGTCATTGTATCGACCATAGAATTTACGAAATGATGACTTTAAACGAGACTGTTGATATTCTTGTTTCATCAACTTGCTTGTCAATAATTTACCTCGTTTAAGAAATTGTTCATACGTAGAGCATGCTCTTGCGTATCGAATCAACTGAGATATAAATACTCCGTATGCAGGTGATGAAGGTATATTGCTGCATAAGTAAGGGAAGTTGACGATAGAAAAGTTAAAGTCATCACGTTTATCATATAGCTTGGTTGTTAGATTACCATTTGTGTCTTTTTCAAGTAAAATATCCAAGTATGAAGCAGATGTGTTGGACTCTGTGGTATCTTTTATCTCAAGCTCACCAGGATATATCGTGTCGACGTAGGAATGGAAATTATCATTATTAATTGACAATACGTCGTCGATATATCTAAATGTCGAGTTGAAGGCCACAGCAAGTGTTTTTTTCTTTTCACGCAAAAGATTTTGCATAAATTCTGCTTCATATGAATATCTATGTGGTTTTTTCAGCTCACTTGAGCTGAAAGCTCAAGTGAGCTTTTCTGATAACATTTTATTCGGCGTTCGTCTATCCGTCTGTCTGTCTAGCCGTCCATTTGTCTGTAATTTTTTCAATTTTCATTTTCTTCTCAAGAACTACTGGGCCAATTTCAAACAAACTTGCCACAAAGTATCCTTGGGTAAAGGGGATTCAAGTTTTTTTAAATGAAGGGCAGCGCTTTCATGCAATGGGAGATAATTTGAAATAGTGAAAATTTGGTCTCCTGCTTTAAAGAACCGCTGTGCCAGGAAAGATGGAACTTATGGGAAACACCCTCAGGTAGTGTGGATTCAAGTTTGTTCAAATCATGACCACCATGGGTTGAACGGAGGTACGTCCAGTACACGATCTTTTTTTCCGATATTGTCGACATCGCTGTAAAAATACCAGTCCTCTTAATTTCATAACATATTCAACATGAAAATAATACATTGTTTATCTCTCTCTATATTCGTTGTTTAACAATATAACGTCAACATCTTGTTAACCTTGTCTTCCCTTTTTCTGTTGTTTACATCATTCACATCGTCGACTTCGCAATGTTGGTCGATATCGAGTCGACGTCGTGTCAACATTGCTCTTCTTATTTTTCTTGTTTACATTGTTCACATCGTCGATATCCTTATGTTGGTCGGTAATTGAGTTGATGTTTTGTGAACATTGCATTCTCATTATTTTTTTGTTTATATAATTAGTATCTGTGTTGGCCAATATCGAGTCTTTAATTCATCATGTCAACATTAAGTTTCTTTTTTTGATTTTTTTTATCTTGGTAAAATAATGGACAACGCATTTAACGCATAAAATCAAGTAGAGTTCATATTGATACATATAAGGCAATATATTCTGTTTACTTTTTGCAAATCATCACCAGGGCAATCTTTGACTCTTATGAGTCCACATCAAGTGTACATCAAGGATGAAGCATGTCTGTTACATTCTGAAAATAAACTAAAAAAAACTTTTTTCAGACCTTGGAAACTGTACAGTACATGCAAAATAGTTTTAACATTCATTACATTACGTTGTCAATATACAATGTAGAAATAAAAGCAACGTAGACAATGTAAACACGATATCTTATCAACAGTGTTTACGTTGCGATGTCGACAATATCTAATTGATTACAGGAACTGGACATGAATGGTTGGGCGGGGTCACAATGGCCGACAAACGTTTTATATAGAGATATATAGGAAGAATCTTTAAAAATCTTCTCAAGAATAACAAAGCCATGATAGTTCATATTTATATGGAAACATTCTTAGGTAGTGTAGATTCAAGTTTGTTCAAATCATGGCCCCCAGTGTTTGGGAGGGGCCAAAATGGCCGACCAAAGTTTAACTAGAAATACGTTGGAAAATTCTTTAAAAATCTTCTCAAGAATAACAAAGCCATGCTGGATCATATTTATATGGAAACATTCTTAGGTAGTGTAGATTCAAGTTTGTTCAAATCATGACCCCCAGTGTTTGGGAGGGGCCAAAATGGCCGACCAAAGTTTAACTAGAAATACGTTGGAAAATTCTTTAAAAATCTTCTCAAGAATAACAAAGCCATGCTGGATCATATTTATATGGAAGCATCGTCAGGTAGTGTGGCTTCAAGTTTGTTCAAATCATGATCCCCGGGGTTTGGGCGGGGCCACAATGGCCGACCAATGTTTTACATAGAAATATAGAGGAAAAATCTTTAAAAATCTTCTTCTCAAGATTGACAAAGCCATGATTGATCATATTGATATGGAAGCATCCTCAGGTAGTGTAGATTCAAATTTATCAAATCATGCCCCCCCCCCCGGGGTTTGGCGGGGCCATAATGGCCGACCAAAGTTTTACATAGAAATGTATAGGAAAATTCTTTAAAAATCTTCTCAAGAATAGCAAAGCCATGATTGGTCATATTTATATAGAAGCATTCTCATGTAGTGTGGATTCAAGTTTGTGCAAATCATACCCTCTCCCCTTCAAGGAATGTTTGGGACAACTATTGGGTTCAAACTTTTCATAATAAATTACTTTCTGCTTTTATGCTAGTCACAGTGCTCAGGTGAGCAATGTGGCCCATGGGCCTCTTGCTGGCGTTCAAAATCTTATATGTGGAAAAAAGAACACAAAAGAAAAAAAAAATCCTGCTTGTTGGCTTTCACCTCGACATTTAGGACAGAAGATACACTTTTGTAAAAAAAAAAAATGAAACTTACAACTTGAGTCACACTTTGATGAGAAAAATGAATAGCTTTAACCACGTAGTTTTTATTTTTTTCTATTAAAATTTTCACTTAAACGGGATTTGAAGTTAAAAATATTTGTATAGATTAATAAGGATGGTTTCAGAGAGGCAGAATTTTGAACATCGTACAAGGTTTACAATTTCTTTATATTCTTGAAATTTATTATTTGCATCAATTTCAATGACATTAGACCAGAGATATATAACAATCAAGGCATCCATTTTTTGTTTCTATCATCTGTCCTTAAGATATATCAACGACGTATTGATTATTTCCATTCTTATGTCGATAGTGGTGCAGTGGTTAAAGCATCTGCTCTAGAGTAACGAAATAAGTAGTTGATCAATGCGTTGCGGATTCGAACCTCACTGTTGGATTTGCAGACCGGTCCTTCGAATGAGACCGTATAAACCGAGGTTCCGTGTTGCAGGAGGTGCTGGCAAGAAAAAAAGTGCCGAGCATAGGACAAAATTTGTAGCTCTCCATCGGCATGTGGTGGCGTCTCCAACTGAGTGAAAAATTCTCGAGAGGGACGTTAAACAACATGCAATCAATCTTTCAATCTTATGTCGATATCAGTTTCTACGATACATCAACACCAGGGTATACTCTTCGCATTCGTTACACCTGACTGCTTTATTGACACGGGTATCGGCTTGGAAAAGCGACCCGTATTCGTGCTGTTTGTCTTGAATTATCTTTGTTTTACATTTTATTGCAGGTATGCATATTTTTGTGTTTGTTTGCATACTGCGTGCCCTGTGCAACTGTTGTAATTGTCTTTGGTTTCTTACTGTCCTGCATTAGAAGAAATACACATTTTTTGTCGCTATTGAATATATACTGTATAGCATACGTCCATGTACACTGGTACCATTTATTGCACTGAACAGTTACTAATTAAGTGATCGTCTCTTTTTATAGAGATCTGAAGATATAGCGAGAGCTCGAACAAATATGGCGAAAAAATTCTTTTTACGAATCGTGTTCAGCTTTAAATGCTTTAATTGAGATTGTAGATATTCTTGTTTCATCAACTTGTTTGTCTTCAAAAGTCAAAAAATATCACAGATTTAATGAAACAACATTAATGATACACTTAATGGATTAATCATAGGCTTTAAACAAAAAGAATTTCATATACACTTTTACACAGATTGTTTTTATTATTTTTTTTAAATGAAACAAAATTACATTAATATACACGTAATTCATCTACTTTTTCATAAAGATTAATATTTTATTTGTCCCGTGGGGATCCAGGTTATAATAGGTCCTCAGTACCCCCTTGCTTGTCGTAAAAGGCGACTAAATGGGGTAGTCCTTCGGATGAGACCGTATAAACCGAGGCCCCGTGTCACAGCAGGTGTGGCACGATAAAGATTCCTCTCTGCTCATAGGCCGTAAGTGCCGAGCATAGGCCCAAATTTGCAGCCCTTCACTGGCAATGGTGACGTCTCCAAATCAGTAAAATATATTGAAGATGGACGTTAAACAGTTTATAATTAATCAATCATTTCATGCAAGGCTTCCTGCGATTTATTTTGACTGTTAAACAAATAAATGGCAAAGATTTGTGTGAAGACATTCTGTATTTTAGAATTAATTATTTATAACAATAGATATGTAACAGAATACTTAATAAGAATTGTTTAAGTATGTTTTATAGAATACATTTTTTTTTAAAAATTGCATTTATTTAATTTTAGATTTGTAGACCTAAATCCATTTCACTGTGACTGTTTACTGGAAGGCTTTGTACAATATATCAAAGAATTTCAACTTAATTCAACTAATTCCATAGACACTCCAAAATGTGCCACGCCAATTAAACAAACAGGGATGGGGTTGAAAGACATTTCTCCAACAGATTTGTCCTGTGAAAAATCAAGTATTATTTATTTTTTTCTTTTATCTCTTACAGTTAAAACCTTTTCATTCAGAATGATATTGTAAATTTAAAGAATCTACATGTATTCACATTGTTTAAAATCAGGCAAAGGTTTTGAAACCAGTATCTTTTGGGTTTTGCTTCCTTTTTTGAATATACTATTTCAATTTTCATCCTTTTGATTTAAAACGCTTAAAAGATTTATGACTCTTAACTAACAATTAACCCCAAACTATGAAAAATGGCATAATATTCAAGCACACTTACCTAACATTTTCATGTAAAATATGTTGAAAAATTTAATGCTACTATAGAAATAATATATCTAATTATTGTAAATGTGTAATACTGTAAACCAACTTTTATTCGCGACGAGTTTATTTCGCGATTTACCGTGTGTAAACTAGTTCGCGACGATTAATTTTCGCGATCAAGTCGTTTTTGGAACTGTTTAAATAGAAAAAGAGACTTTAAGGACCCGTTCGCGGCGAGAAATATTCGCGATGACGAGGCTCTCGCGAACCTCGCGAAAATTTCTCGCACGCGAATAAAAGTTGGTGTACAGTATTTACATGTACATGTCAGTTTGTTTTCAAAGTCGGGAGTCATCGAAATGTATAATTGTGTCATGGTTTAATAGAAGCAAGGTTTCTTTTAACAACTTATATTCCTTAATGATTCCCAGCTTATATTAAGACTATAAAGTCCAACATTTACATTTCATATTCAAGGCTGTATCCACTGTACGAATTATAACAGTGAATGTTCCTACTGAAAACCTAATGTGTTTTTTATTCGGATTTTAATTTTAAATTAAGATGACATGAAGATTGTTTGACCGTGTTCATACATCTTTTATTTAACAACCATTCTAAGAGTATTGCAAATCGACCTTGCAAGCCAGTGTCATGTTCTGAACGCATTTAAAGCTTCGGGAAGCCTTAACATAGCTGTTTATGGTTTGTCAACATAAAGCTATCCTGCAAGTTTCATATCAAATATGTTTCACTTAACAATCTCATATAAATATTCATTTGATTTATAGCATCACATACCAGATTGTGAAACAAATTAAAAATGACATAATTCCGTCGAAAATAAAAGAAAAGGTAGAATGAAATGCAGACCTGATCTGTAACACTCATATACTAAAACTCAACTCAATATCTGCAAGAAATACAGAAAACCAAATGGGACAGGCAGACAGACAGACAGACAGATTGATTAGCAGACTCAAAAGAAACATAGTCCCCTCCAGTTTCAGCGGAAGGGGGCTAATAAAGACCTCTTTTAATAAAGACATTAAGATTAGATGTGCAAATAAAAAATCTACAAAACAAATCTACTTAAAGTTCAAAACATTTTTGACGTTAACGGTTAAGTTGAAAAGATTAAGAGGCAGTCCACCGAAAAACCAGGCAATATATGGCACGTCGCATGTCATGGATTTTAATTATTTTTTGCATGTAAACTTAGTTTAGTAATTGTTTACACAGGACAACATTAAAAAATTTTTAGTGGTCCTCTAGTCCTATTTTTGGTAATGCCTAATTTTAAGTGCAAAAAGGTCAACTTGAGGGTAAAAAAAATGCTACGTTTTTATTTTTTTTTTTATATGTAACAGATACTCAAAAGCTGGATGTGTCAATCAATATTGTTAATAGCATAGACTCTTATCTTTTATTTTATAATGAATAAGACTCCAAATTATATTTCTTTAGAAAAAAATATATGTGGTCCAAAATTGAATTTAACAAGTTACTTTTTGAATTCAGTATCCAATTTTCGATACGTTATAAAATCCAATACATTACTATGACATAATTTTTTCCTCATGTTATAATGAATTAAAAGTACAAACTTTTGATTCATTTAATAAAATTGGTGGGAACAGGTATATTGAGAGAAATAAAAGGAGTCAAATTTACCTATTATTTATGATTTTCCCCTGATTGAACCGATCCCGATCGGATTTATATAAAGAAGAAAATACTATAATTGTTTCGTTAAATTTGGCTCTTTTGTTGCAATGTTGTTTAAGAATTACTTTATTTATTATTTTACATATTATATAGGTGGCAGGTGCCTTTAATTTGATAAATTTATTAATTTTGCATTATTTTCAATCGGGATCGGTTTTATTTCAATCGGGGTCGGTTTTTATTAGAAATATTTCCTCTATTTGTTTCTTCATTATAATTTATCAGAACATTATGCTTCTCTTTTACTTCTTTTCAATCATTTTTCTGTTTTTAAATGACTGTAACAATACATTCAATGTATATATCATTTAAATTACTAATGTCTTTTACGTACATGAAGATCACATGTAAAAACATGTTTGATTTCCTGATACTCGGTATTTCAAAAAATGTATTTGTACATGCATCATGCAACAATTGAGAGCAGACAGCTTTCTACATATAATTTCATTATTTATCTTATCTTATTTCCAAGCCAAATTTCTTTTTCTATTTTCTCAGGAATTAAAGAGTTAAATTCTATCAGTGACGAAATTAATTAAACTTGGTTAAATACAGAAAATATTTTATACGTACAGTCTCGACTTTATCCAAGTTTTTTTTTACCGGTCATCTGTACAGCCTTTTCCCTATATTTTCCTCTTTTACAGATTTTATATAGATAAGAAAATAACTATTTAATTGTGACGCAATATTAGTCAGGTGTATGACGTCACTGATACATCAATGGAAACGTGATTTCGACCCGAATAATATAGCCAATTTTTATTTAAATATTACGTTTGGAGGTGAAAATGAATTATATTTTGAAAATAAATAAGTTCTTTTTTTCTTTAATAATTTTCTTTAGTGTATCGATTCTAAATATTTCACTAGGATTCCGATAAAAAGGTGTTTAGCAAATTTACCGATGCCACGGGAGATAACTCTTGTATCACAAAATTTCACAAAAACGTCTATATATTTTGCCAGAAAACTACTATCAAAATTGTTTTTCCCACCGATTATATTTTGTGAACAAAAAAAATGAAATATTTCTAGATTTAGTTAAGTGTGAATGATAGTTCTGATAAAAATTTATTAGAAATTTCAGTTCTCTGTTTCTGACCTACATTCAATGGTTTATATACGGGAATTCAAAAACACAAAACACAGGGATATTTTACTAAATAAGCCATTTTCAAACAAATCTTCAATCACATTATTCCTTTTGGACTACATTGATATTATTTTTAATAAAATATCAAATATTCCCCACATTCGATGTGCCACCTATTAATACAATACTGCCTGGTTTTTCGGTGGACTGCCTCTTAACACTTACCAAATCAAATCCTGAAAAAATGTTTTGATAATTTTCAGAACATTTAAGCCAAGATAATGCATCTACACCATTGAGAACTTATCATACTATGTATGTCAGATGGTTGATTATTGTTTCATATATTTAATAAAAATAAATGCGAGAATAAATATTTGCAGAACAAATACTTAGGTGAAATTACGTGTGAATAGAGAATTCAAAGTTATTAAAGGAGTTTTCCTGGATCCTGACCTCGGTGTTTTTATGCCAACAGGTAAATAACGATAAATGTGTCTGTTTATTAAAATCCTAAAATACTCAGCTATGTTGAGGACCAATATGGAAAATGAGACATTTGCACCGTTTTAATATGTATTACTTCTTTTAAAAAATTGTAACAAAGCAACTGAATACTTGAAGAAAATGTAATATTGCTATCAATAATGGATAGGACTAGGCCGTAGTTATTACCAGTTATATCGCACGTATCAGCTGTTTGTCATGTGACTTGTATAAAAATAGAATTGTTACATGTAAGCTGAATGTAGAAAATGGGGATAGTGCAAGGGCATTCGCTTGTTTTTCAAGAAAAAATTACGCATTAAAGCTACACATTAAAAGAGGTTTATTTCCTCTACCCAAAAAGTGCTGGGAGCTAGTCAGTGCTGTTTGCGAAGTACTTAAAATATTGCTGAAAATGCTTTTAATAGCTTAAAATTTCCACTTTGCTTAAATTCTGTTATAAATAAAATTAATATTATGCAGACCAGGATCAGCTTCCAGCACTTTTCAAAATATACACTATATAAGCAATAAATATTCCAAATTTCAGCCCAAACAAAATATTCTATGCCCTTGCACTTTTGATGCAAATCACGAATACGCTCATCGTTTTAGCGATATTCTCTTCATTCCTTATCCCTGTGCAGCTTCAAGGCTACTAGAAAAATTCATAATTTATACACATTATATTTAATAATTTATTTTCTTTTAGTTTTAATGATTAGGTCTAAAAATTAGCAATGGTATCACATTTATTTAAGTATTCTTGTAATTATTAAACCAGTGAATCTAGTCCTCTGGATCACCTGTAATGCGTCATGCCAAGGCTGATGACGTCATATTTGATGAAAGACTTTCTTCTATTACTCGACTGTATTGCTATCAAGCATTGTGATTTTACAAGATTTTATAAATAATCAATAAAATAAATAAATTCAAGTTGTTATTTACGCATGATCATGTCGTTAATTAATTTTTGTGGCTTGTTAAATTTCAACGACGTCACAATTTAACTTCCAATACGATGTACAAGGAATGTGAACTCTGACCTTCCTTAACATAGCTGAGTAATATGAATATGAATATGAATTCTAATACGTCAAACTTAGCAAGATTTTCTATATCAAGGCAAATACTTGCATTATCTTAATTTTTACGAAGGGCTTAATATAAATTTCAAATTAAATTGTAAAGCTAATTGCTTTCCTATTTCCTTTTTTGTACTTAAAGGATAATTGTATTTAAACATAATAATAAAATATTAGGAGAAATTATATTACTAATCTTAACTTTGGTTGGGTGCCGAAATAAATAAAACAAACATTGGACCCAATTAACGTTAAGGATTTCTCTCTTATTAGGTTTTATGGTAGGATCACTATGTACAGGTCGTTGACAGTGATTGAGTCTCTTAACAAAAGACATGAGAAAATGAAAGGAGAAAAAGGAGTGAAAATGACAGAAAGATTTTCTTGATGATTATGTATGAAATTCAAGTATTGTGCATGATTTTTTTTTTGTTTTGGAAAGTATGAGGGGGTAGGGTTAGCGAGAGCAGCACATTGTTGATTTATATCATATTGTTTATCTCAAGTTTGATTTTACCTTAACTGTTCAACGTTTTAATAATTAAGCTTTGAGAAAAGTTTTAGCATTCAAAATTACTTTCATTTCAATTTCACGCTTTATTTTGAATGTCCTTAAAACATAGTCATTTTGGGAGAGTACTTTTACTTCCTTGTACATGTGAAATAAAATGTTTATAGTAATTTCTCATAATATCGGTTTTTATCGGCACCAATAGCTTTGAATAAATGACAAAAATTGAAATTTATAGCTTTAAACAGATCAATTGCCAATCCTAGTCGTTAAAATATATTGTTTTCCACTTAAATCCACTATAGATGAACAATTGAACCATAATTTATTTGCGTTTATAGCATAGTTATATTTGGTATGTGTCACGAGTAAATCATCTTCCGAATATGTTTGTTTTATTATTAACCTATGCTGATTGCTAGATTCAATTTCTAAAAACATCCACTTTCGTATAAATCATTCCTTTTGGATATTTCCCTTCCTTAACTCTGAATGAACTTTTGCGATTTTCATTTATAAAACATCTTTTCATTCAGCTTTATGTTAATAATTCATATTCATTTCAAAATCACATTTAAGGTGAAATATCCCTCTGCTAAGAGAGATTATTTGCCAAGGAAAAATTCATTTATTTTTTTCAGATTTGATATATCATACAAATGTCAATTTGTAGTTTCTATTGCCAATATTTTCATTAATTACTTATAATATTTATAATCAGTTCCTTTAATCTGTAAAAATTTGTTAATACCATTAGGGCGGAATGACTTCAATCTGTGCATCCAGAACTTTTCTTTGCTTTTCCTCTGAGCATCTGTCCATCTTGGGTTATGGTCAATCACCACTACTGTCATGTCCTCCCATTTGTGACCCTCAAGGTTGAAATGTTCCCCAACGGG